AGCAGCACACAAACAAGATACAGGCAAGCATAACCCCACACGAGGCCCGGATGCAGCAGCAGCAGCAGCTAGCTGCTGGTGTGGCTGTCTCCTTTTCCTCTAAGGCCCGCAGCATATCGCAGCCGCGGAGCCTGAAGGGCCTCATGCCCCGGATGTCTCCTTCTCGTGCGTTCTGTTCTGTCTCCTTTCTCCTGTCTCCTCCTGTCTCCTTTTGTCTCCTCCTGTCTCCTCTTCTCTCTTTCTGTCAGCTCCTGTCTCCTCTTATCTCTCTATGTCTCCTTCTGTCTCCTCTTTTCTTTTTCTGTCTCCTTCTGTCCCCTCCTCTCTCCTCCTGTCTCCCCCTGTCTCCTCCTCTCACCCCTTGTCTCCTCCTGTCTCCTCTCCTTTTGTCTCCTTCTGTTTCCTTCTGTTTCCTTCTCTCTCCCCCTCTCTCCTTCTGTCTCCTTCTGTCTCCTTCTGTCTCCTCCTGTCTCCTTCTGTCTCCTTCTGTCTCCTTCTGTCTCCCCCTATCTCCTTTTTGTGTCATTTTGTCTCCTGCTGTCTTCCTCCTGTCTCCCGCTGTCTCCTCTTGTCTCCTCCTGTCTCCTGTGTGTATCCTTTTGTCTCCTTTTGTCTCCTTCTGTCTCTATCTGTCTCTCTATGAGACAACAATCTCTTATCCCTGAGGTGTCTCCGCATACAGCTGAGTTTCTGCTGCTGCAGGCCGTCTCTCTTCTGTCCCTCTGTCTCTCGGCTGCCGCCTGGGGCCCCGTCTGTATGCGGCAGGGGGGCCCCCCTCTAAGCCTGAGGAGACAAACAGCAACAACAGCAAACAAAAAGAGTTGTTATCGAGGGGCCCCCATACACCCAACCCACCAACCAAGGGGCCCCACACACAAACACAGGGGCCCCCAGGCTCAACGGTAAGTCTCTCTGTTACTCTCTGTCTCTCTCTGTCTCTGTCTCTCTCTGTTTCTCTGTCTCTCTCTGTCTCCCTCTATCTCCTCTCTCTCGACTCCTCCCTTGGCTCCAGCAGGAGACATATAAGAGATAGAAAGGAGACAGGAGACAGCAGGAGACAGGAGGGGGAGACACTGCCAGCTGCCTGTTGTTTGTGCTGCAGCAGGGGGCCTCAAAGCTGCTGCTCTACATCCTCGTTGTTGGGGGGGCCCTCAGCCTCACCCTCAGCTGTGTTGCTGCAGTGGGGGCCCTAATGACGGCGACTAGGAGTGTGTCTCCTTTGCTGCTGCGGTGTCTCTCTGTCTCCTCCTGTGTCTTTTGTGTCTCTGCTGCTGTCTCCTTGCATCTCTGGCTAGTCCCCACAGCCTCTGTCTCTGTCTCTCTGCCTTTATGTATTCTTGTCTCTGTCTCTCTGTCTCTTTGTGTTAGTCTATCTATCTCTTTGTCTCTCCGTCTCTGTTTCTCTGTCTCCTTTTCTATCTGCTGCAACGCCCGAGAGGACCCCTGTGGGGTGTCTCCTTACCTTTAGCGATACCTGTGTTACTCTTGCTGCTGCTGCTGCTGCTGCTGTTGCTGCTGTTGCTGCTGCTGCTGCATGCAGTCTCTGAGGCCCCCATTGTCTTCTTAGAGAGAAGAAAGGAGACACCGCAGCAATTCAAGTTCGAGGAGGGGGGCCCTGAGGGCCCCATGTTGGGCCCTCTAGGGGGGCCCCCCGCGGGGCCCCCCAAAGGGCCCCTTCATGAGGCATGGGCAGAGGCCAAAGAGAGACACCAACAGCAGCAGCAGCAGCAGCAGCAGCAGCAGCAGCAGGGAGTGCCTGAGTTGTTGTCTCAGCGAGGAGAGACAGGAGGGGGCTGGAGAGGAGAAGGAGACACAAAAGGAGACAGTGAGGCCCTCATTGTCTCCTCTGCTGCTCCGAGGGTTGTTGATGTTGGCGAGCTAAGAGAATTGCCGCTGCACCTTTTGGGCCCCGCTGCTGCTCTGCTGCTCCGCGTCAGCAACTGTCTCCTGCTCTGCTGCTGCTGTCTCCTGCTTTGCTGCTGCTGTCTCCTTGCTGCTGCTGCTGTCTCCTTGCTGCTGCTGCTCTCTCTGTTGCTGCTGCTGTCTCCGTTGCTTTGCTGCTGCTGTCTCCTGCTTTGCTGCTGCTGTCTCCTTGCTGCTGCTGTCTCCTGCTTTACTGCTGCTGTCTCCTGCTTTGCTGCTGCTGCTCTGCTGCTCCGCGTCAGCAACTGTCTCCTGCCTTGCTGCTGCTGTCTCCTTGCTGCTGCTGTCTCCTGCTTTGCTGCTGCTGCTCTGCCGCTCCGCGTCAGCAACTGTCTCCTGCTTTGCTGCTGCTGTCTTTTGCTTTGCTGCTGCTGTCTCCTGCCTTGCTGCTGCTGTCTCCTGCTTTGCTGCTGCTGTCTCCTTGCTGCTGCTGTCTCCGTTGCCGTTCCTGTCTTCTTTGCTGCTGCTGTCTCCTTGCTGCTGCTGTCTCCTGCTTTGCTGCTGCTGTCTCCTGCTTTGCTGCTGCTGTCTCCTGCCTTGCTGCTGCTCTCTCTGTTGCTGCTACCGTGCTGCTGCTGTCCCCGTTGCTGTTTCTGTCTCCTTTGCTGCTGCTGTCTTCTGCTTTGCTGGTGCTGTCTCCGTTGCTGCTACGGTTTCCTATGTTGCTGCTGTCTATCGCCTTGCTGCTGCTGTAGCTGCTGCCGCTGCTGCTGCTGTTGTCTGGGCTGCTGATGCTTTTCCTCTTTCGTGCTGCTCCTGCTGCTGCTGCTGCTGCTGTCTCCTGTGCATGCAGCCCCGTCCAGGAGAAGAACATCTCTTCAGGGTGGAGGATGCAGCGCGGAGACTGGCGACAAGAGAGACACTTCTCTCTCTCAGTCGGGGACACATGCTGCTGCTCAAGCAGCGTGAGCTCAGCAGACACT